ACTGGTATCTAGTACTGGTATCTAGCACTATTCAAAACAGCCGGCAATCCCGCTATTTCGAGCGCTGGAAGTATCAGCAGTGGCGCTACCTCACGGTCACCTCCAGATCACGCCACACCTCCACAGAAAAGAGTGACGTCAGGCTCAGCTACTCTGCAAGCATTTCGTCTGCTAGACGAACACATTCAGTCATGCCTTGTCACCTGCATTGCTGTCGTCACCGTACAAAGTGTCCACTGGGGTTCTATACAATAGCCTGGAGCTTGGAATCACCGCGATTCGCGACGTCGCAAATCATTTTTGCTTCGATAGATCTTTTGCAGAACATTGATTTTAAAATGGACGCCTTTCCAAGCAGCACTGCAGAGGTGCCCAAGGATGCACGCTTCAGCCATGTTCGCTCGTGTGTCTCAGTTAGCTATTTTGGTGTGTTTTGGCGTGCAAATCATTCAGGTATATGCAGAGGGGTCAATGCAGTATAGTTATTGCCAATGAGCATCAGCAGAGAAATAGAATGCTTCTTGCTTGCCAGGTTCTTTTTTGTACCTCCAGATGACCCCACTTATACTGCCTCTCGCGGTTAACGCGGCATTACCACTTTTACGTGAATGCAAAGTCTACAGATGAACTAAAACTCATTGATACCTGCGTGTTACTTGTTAGCGATGATATCTAACTACAGTAAAAGCTCGTTATTTCGGATTTCACGGGACCGGAAAAACTGTCCGAATTAACCGAATGCCGAATTAACGGATGAACAGGGAAAACAATATTTAAAATCAAGCTGCAGAAGCATACCTTTATTTGTTGAAGTATTTTATAATTGTTGTCTGCGTTTTCGCGCAGATTCCGGCTGACATCACAATTTTTCTTAACTGTTCCAAATGGCCAACAGCACGCAAGCTGTCAGGAGTGTTCAGGCAAGCGTCCTCTAATATTAACAGCGCCTCCGAGACTTCCCGTGAGGTGCGATGAGGTCGCGGCTGTACCTCCTCGCATGATTCTTCGTCGGAATCGTGGTCTTCATGGGCGCCCGTGACATCATTAATAATCTCTTGATCGGTCAGGAGACCCCTCGTGGCGACACCATGATCAATCGCGATGTAGTCCTGAAAGGTCACATCTGTGGCAGTCATCGTCGGTAGACTCGGCTGACACCTCCTCGATGCCATCGTCAGCTACTGCTGCATGCTCGGGCCTCACAAAACCGCTGTGCCGAAAACAGTTGGCGATGACTTGCGGCGAAGTGTTTTTCCACACGTAGGCGATGATGTGCACTGCGCCGAGTAAGTCCACTTGATACAACTTTCCAGCTTCTGAGCATAGGATCATTCGCTCTAGCAGGTGCTTGCGGTACTTCACGTAGTGAAGTACCGCAAGCACCCTGGTCCATCGGCTGAAGAGCAGACGTAGTGTTGGGCAGCAAAAAAACTACTTTGATGCTCTTCAGTTCGACTGTACAGTTATGGGCACTGCAGTTGTCAACAACCATAATTATCTTGCCGTCCTTTGACGTGGAGTGCCAGTCCAACTGCTGCAGCCAGCCGCGAAAAATGTCCCATGTCATCCATGCCTTCCTGTTCACTGTGTACTCGACAGGAAGGCTTTTGACGTTCTTAAAACAACGTGGCTTAAGCGCCTTCCCGACGACAAGTAGTGGCAAGCGCTCTGTGCCAGTCATATTGGCGGCAAGAAGCACAGTTATCCTTTGCTTGCACTTCTTTCCACCAATGCACGCGTCCCCATTGAAAGTCACCGTCTTGTCGGGCAGAGCTTTGAAAAATAGAGCAGTTTCACCTGCATTGAACACGTCACGTGGTTCATATGCGGCGATGTGCTTCAGCAGCTTCACATTTCTCCACTCGGTGGTCACGCTTTCGTCAACACTGGCCTTTTTGCTGCACACACTCCTGAAGACAAGTTCGTGTCTCTCTCGAAACCTCGCAAACCACCCTTCTGACGCTTTGAACGATTCAATGTTCATCATTGCAGCGTACTTCTCACCTTACGCCACGATGAGAGGTCCGCTCAAAGGCAGATGCGCGTTGCGACAGTCAGTAATTCACCGAAGCAAAGCTTCTTCGAGCTGGGGATGAGCTGCGGTTCGCAACCGCATTCTAGAGGCATGAAACTTCTCGCTTTCGAAGGCTTGTCGAATCTGTTGTTCATTTTTCACGTACGTTCCCAACGTGCTCCGCTTCACCTTGTACTTGGTCATAACCTGCTGTCGCGATTCGCCGTTCTTCAGTGCTTCCAAAATTTTCACTTTAGTCGCCAAGTTCTTCGCGTCGTAGTTCTGCCGCTTTTTCGGCGTTGCCATCACTGTAGCGCACGATGGTGGTGGCATGCAAATACGGTCACAATGGAAGAAAAAGAGAACTCCGCAAGAAGAGATGGTTCCGACACAACAACACAAAGGAAAATGGCGTCGGAGGCGCTGAGTGGAGAAGAAAGAAGACGCCGACGTTCGGTGACGCTGCGATCGCCCCCACTAGTTGATGACGATGGCGATGCCACTCAGGTTTCGGTTTCACTCCAGTGGTGCCAGCGCTGCTTTATCACACTTTTGTGTAGCAGCAGCCGTCAGCATTTGTCCGAATTAAGCGGTGCGGAGCCGAATTCCGACGAAATAACGAAGATTTGGTCCCATAGATTAACATGCACTTTTGCCGGGACCAATAGAGCCGTCCGAATCATCCGAATTTCCGAATTAACGGGCGTCGAATTAACGAGCTTTTACTGTATACGCTGTTCCACTTTTGATAGCTTGTGGTCGTATTAATGTGTAACACATACGGAATGTGAAAAGACACCCTAACTGCGCTTTTTCCGTGCTTCGAACTAGACAACTGCAACTCACCTATAACTCACAACGATTGACTGATTGATATATGGGGTTTGAGTGATTTATTATGAGAGACGCCGTAGTGGAGGGCTCCGGAAATGCCCGCACATTCATCAATTTTTTCGCACACTAACGCCTGCACATTTTCCCATTTTTTTTGAGCCTGTGAGGCTCAAACAGAAAATCAACAGACACTGGCTCAAAAAAAAAATCAGAAAATATGAGGGCATTTGTGTGCTGTTTTCTGCACCATGCAAATTAATCAGTCTCACTAAATCTACAAACTCCCTAAAAAGCAGTCATAAACTCAATGTAAAGTTAAGCATAGGAACAGGTATGTGGCATGTTCTCGGGGAGTTGTCTATGGACCCCCCTTTGCTGTGGTGCCAGTTATGCCGGATTACCGGAAGGTGTCTCAACGATCAACTGAGGGAACACGCTAACAATGTTATAAACGGGAAATATAGTTTTCTTGCTCAGCACTGCACTGAGTGAAACTGTGTGCCCCTTTTCAAGGACACAGTGACGCTGTATAGGCACAGGGATGAGCGCACCCGAGTTATCGTCGAGGCCACTCAGATGGCACGCGAACAGGTGTCATGCATTAGCAAGCCCTCCCTGTTTCTGTCCGAGAAAGAACTAAGGTTCCTTGAAGGTATCGGTGCGCGCAAATAGTTATAGTACTTTTACTTTCAGTTTTGCTTTTCTGTTTCGTTTTGTTATAGATTTTTTTTTGCCTTCTTTCTTTGCTTAAATTTTTTCCCTTACTCATGCATTGCTCTTTGTGTCACATGGTTTTTGTCAGATGGTTTACTGTCTCCTCTATATGTTTTCGTGCTCTGCACAATAAACTCAGTTGGAAGTTAGCGTTAGTCTTCTTCTTGTCCCTTTGTTGTAGTTCTGTTCTCACACTATATCTACCGTCATGTCATACTAACTAGCCCAAACCGCCACACTTCTAGAATTTATACTTTTCAATCATGCTTAAAATTATCAAAAACCATCTTATTGTGCAGCTTAGTTCAAGAGCCTTGAAGCTGGATTATGGAATGCGGAGTCGATCACTTTGCTGAACGTGGTCAGCAGTCTGATGCTGTTGTGCGTGCCAGTCTTCAAAATTAGAGTATGTATATTATTGTCCAGCCTCGCTCAATACTATGCTGCTTACAACATAAAAGGAGTAGCACGGTGAAAAGCGGCACTACCGTTGGGGCCACCAGTGGAACCGAGCCGTGGCGCATGCACGTGCAGAAAGTACGCACGCGCAGTAACCCATCGCGCTTAAACACGAACCGCCCACCTGCTCACTGTTTGCAGCATGTGAGCATATGACTTCATATTCGCTGTATATAGAAAAACTAATTACAAATGTTTCACAGAGTTTGCACTTTATCATTCTGGGACCAGACTCACTGACGATTCAAATTTCCTTCGTGATAAGAAAAATAGGCACCATAAAAAATGGTTCTTGGTCCCTTTAACAAAATCATTCATGTACAAACTTTTTTTTTGCAATCACTGAAAACCACTTTTTTTTGTCAATATTTAGCAAAGTTTAAATTTACAAAAATTATCATGCACTACAAACACGTATCTAGCCCCTCTGTAACAAATGAAAGAGCATGAAAAAGAAACGATGCCGGCGGGCACCAACACTTCGGTTGTTGGTTCCAGTTTGGTTTCAGTTCCCGTTCAGTTCCTGTCAAAGTTTTTGTTTGTTATACAAACATTTTTCATTTCAAGTTCAGTTCGGCATTCTCTTTAAATCAACGTTTTACTACTTCTCTTGTAATCACCTCACAAAATATTAGTCATTGACTTATCCCAACAACTGCCTACTGTTTCCATACCAACTGCATTTTGTTTACTCGGTGCATTAAGCTGAACGAATGCCAGCGATACATCGCTTCCAAACGTATTTTATTATACGGCTGAAGTGCGATTGCAAAAAAAAAAGAAGAAACAAACTACCATCTGGTTTTATATTCAATGAAGGGAGCAACATCACCTTACTGACAGGTTTGTAAGTAGGCACCATGCATATAAGCTGTAAATAATTGATAGTGATAAATAGCATTTGTGGAACTCCTAATATAAGGGATGTGGGATAATGTACACAACAAAATTTTTTTTCTGTGAAAAATGTAATACTTACTCATCATATTTTGGAGCGCACACTATTGACACAGATTCAGGCAACATCAGCTGGTAACTGCAGTGGGTGTGGAGGTCTACACTGGACAAAAAAGCAGTCTGTGTTGGGTGGGTCTGAAAGCAAGTGTAGCCATGTATTGCATAAGTGTACATTCAAAATACTGTCAGCGGGCAAAGAAATGGCCCTTACATACCCATCTGCCCAGCACCAGCTCAGCATGGCTTTACATCTAGTATCAGGTCTCAAATTCAAGCATCACAAAATATTGCTGTAGAAGCACACACATTTTCTGGGGAAGAACCTACATGTGTGTGGTTAATGTGTATGTAATATGCTATACATTGACTGATATGTGGGGTTTACAACCCAAAGCCACCACATGATGATAGGATACGCTGTAGTGGAGGGCTCCAAAAATTTCGACCACCCGGGGTTCTTCAATGTGCACCCAAATCTGAACACACGGGCCTACAGCGTTTTCGCCTCCATAGAAAATGCAGCCGCTGCAGCCGGGATTCGATCCCGGGACCTGTGGGTCAGCAGCAGAGTACCTTAGCCACTAGACCACGGTGGCGGACATAATATCCTATACAGTGGACTTGATAGTTCAAACTCGAGTAAATCTTGGAATTGTATTTGACTTGCCAAAACTTCTTATAAATATGGCTTATGGTAACATACTAACTATAGTTGCAATAATTATTGTTTCTCAGTGCTGCAACAAAATCACAGGCAATTCTGCATAATTTCCAGTATAGTTTTTAGACTTAAGACACTCCTGACAGTGAAATTTTCGCTTGCGACTTTGTAAGGTTAGCCCTTTGTCTGGTAAATGCTCTAATCATAAATGCTCTAACATATTTTATAATCCATGAGAGCACTGCTAATTGTAACCAACTAGGTTGATTGATTTGTGGGGTTTAACGTCCCAAAACCACCATATGATTATGAGAAACCAACTAAGTGCCACTTTGAACTGGCAGCCTTGAATTATAAGAAACTAACGCCGCACAGCGGAAGAGCGCTTAAGGCCACGCATGCTCAAGCTTTGATGACATCCAGAGCACATTTTTCGAATCAGGACTTCACATGCAGTATAGTATAAAGGGATGTGTATGCTTCCGTAGGAATGAATCTTGTCAAGAGAGTGTTCTGTCAAAAGAGAAAAGCATTCCTGGAAGGTTAAGCAGTCAAAACTATTTAGAGAGCAGCCCCTAAACAGAGCGAGTGGGCCGAGGAACAATAACACTTGTTGGGTGCCAGTCGTCATATACAAGTGTGCCCTGTGAAATATACTCTAAGCATTGATGATATTCATTTTCCTTGTGAAACTTCTCTTGAGGCCTTCATCTACGTCACACTTGTGGCGATGTTGCGAGGTCCTGCCTACCGATATAAGCACTCTCACTTAATTTAAAACCATATGAAAATATCCTAAAGACAACCTTCACCACAAATAATTGGTCAGAATTTCCACGTATACAGGACAGTCAAAGAAGACAAACATTTCAAAGTTTTGATTTTGGTTGCACGAGCCCTTTTAGACAACAGCAATCGTACGTCTGAGGGACAAAATCAGTTTTACTATAAAAATTTTATGGCCACTTCAGGTGCACTTTTGCCATCTCCTATACAGTAGACTTGTGCGAATAGTGAATTTTAGGTTCGAAGCGAATAGCGATTCCGGACGAATAGTTTCAAATCGAATTCTAATAGAATATACAATGTATAAAAAAATGGGCATATTTATTATGACCTAACTAACCTGCACAATATTTTTTTTAACAAGGCCCCTATGCAAGAGCTTTCTTTATTTTTTTCCATTCAAAGGAAGTCGAAACAACTTTGAGAAGTAGCAGAATTTGACTTTCAGTAGGATGCAAGTGATAACCTGTAAAATACATAACAATATTCATTACATCTAGAGTGGATAAGCTGGCAAAACAAGCTTTTAAGCTTAAAAAACGATCAATCCATTTGAGGATAATATTGCCACGGGAAACTGCCAATGCTCAGTATAAGGCAGACATCGCAAACATGCGAAGCACTGATGGCACCGCTACAAGAGATGAAGCCAGCCACAATGGGCGAGCTCGTCCTGCATGCGCACGAGCTTCGACCTAGCGGCCAGCCTGCGTGAAGACGAAAATGACAATGCTCGAGACAGAAGTTCGCGAGGACTACGGATGTTCCGTTCCTTTTCCCAGCTGCTGTGTCATTCCTTTGACTTTAGGCACAAGTTCGCCCTTATTAAAGCTTGTGTAAAGAGGTTTATTGGGCGAACCTAGCGAGCAGGTGGAAGATTTGAGATAGACACAGGACAAGGAAGAGTGAAGACTCTGCGGTGATGCTTGTTGTTCCCTGATGTTGTCATCATTTCTTCATTATAATTGCCCCCGTCGAGAAAGATGAAGCCATCCTGGCGATCTAACAGGTAGGAATGAGCGGGCCGAAGTACGGCTTCAAGCGGTCCACGTGGACGATATCGTGTCCACGCCGACGATGGTCACCGAGGAGCGTAAGCGGTTCAATGGCGTAATTGACGGGCGATGTGCACTCTACCACGCGGTATGGACCATGGTAACTTGAAAGTAGCTTGGTAGACAAACCAGGTGCACAGGGTGGTACATACAGCCATAGAAAAGTTCCAGGGGCGAACTTTGCGGCAGGAAGGTGGTCGTCATCGCGGGCCTTTTTCTGGCATTGCTGGTCAGCCGTAGTAAACTGCTTCGCTAGTTGACGGCATTATTCGTAGTGACGAGCGGCTTCGGACACGGTCGTGCACTCAGATGCATCTGGTGCGTATGCCAGCAAAGTGTCAATTTAGTGCAATGGTTGACGTCCGTATAGAAGGAAGAACGGAGAAAGGCTGGTGGTGACTTGGGTAGCGGATTGTATGCATAGGTCGCAAACGGAAGAACCAGGTCCCAGTTCGTTTGGTCAGATGCCACATGCATGGCGAGCATGTCACTCAGGTTCCGATTAAACCGCTCAGTCAAGCCATTCGTCTAAGGGTGGTAAACAGTACTCATCCATTGTACAATATGGCACTGGCAAAGAAGTGCTTGGATTACGTCCGATAGAAATACACGGCTCCGGTGACAGGAGCTCGCAAGGAGGGCCATGACGCAACACCAACCGATGGAGGATGAAAGCTGCAACGTCCTGAGCGGTCGCCTTAGGAAGAGCAGTGGTTTCGGCATACCATGTCAGGTGATCTACAGCAACGATAGCCCACCGGTTACCTGCTGTGGTCAATGGCAGTGGTCCATAAAGGTCAATTTCGACGCGATCGAATGGGCGGTCGGGGCACACAAGCGGCTGTAGTGGAGCTGCTCCTGGATTCGGTGGCGGCTTCCGTCGCTGACACTCGTGGCAGCCGCAAATAAACTGTCGAACAAAAGTAAACATCCCACGCCATAGTACCGCTTTCTTAAACGTTCGTAGGTCTTGAAGACACCAGCGTGAGCGCATTGCGGGTTGGAGTGAAATGATGTACAGATTGTAGAGCGCAGCTTTCGGGGAATAACGAGCAGCCACTTCCTGCCGTCTGGTGAGTAATTGCGCCGGTACAAGAGGCCACCTCGAATGGTGAAGTGCGAAGCTTGGCGTCACATTGCTCAAGTGGTTGGAAGTGTCGGTCCCTCAGATAAAATGTCCAGAAGCAAAGTTATCCATGGATTGTCGCACTGTGCAGAGGACATTGTGTCGATGTCAAGAGCTGACAGCGCGTGTTGTATAGAAGATATAGAGGCAGCCTCAGTGGACAGTGGTGATCGCGAGAGCGCATCAGCATCGGCATGTTAGCGGCCGGAACAGTACATGACGCGGATGTCATACTCTTGAAGTCGCAGAGCCCAACGAGCAAGGCGACCTGATGGATTCTTCAGCGACGACAACCAACATAAGGCATGATGGTCTGTAACTACAGCAAACGTGCGGCCATTTAAGTATGGGCAGAACTTGACAATCGTCCAAAGTATGGCTAAGCACTCTTTTTCGGTAACACTATAGTTTACCTCAGCCTTCTTGAGCGTTCTGCTGGCGTAGCCGACGACATACTCAGGGAATCAATGCTTCCGTTGAGCGAGAACTGCACCAAGACCAACACCGAGGCATCTGTATGGATCTCAGTTGCAGCCGTGGGATCATAGTGGCACAATATAGGCGGTGATGTCAGGAGACGGCGAAGAGAGGTAAATGCGTGATCACACTCGGGAAAACCATGACGAAATGTCCTTGGTACTGCTTAAAAGTTGGGTCAAAGAGACAATTATGGAGGCAAAGTTGCACACAAACCGACGAAAGTAAGAACATAATCCTACAAAGCTGCGTAACTGTTTTACAGTCGTCGGTTTGAGGAATTCAGCCACAACGCGTAGTTTAGCTGGGTCGAGAAGAACACCATCCTTTGATACGACGTGACCAAGAATGATGAGCTTCCTAACCGCGAAGTGGCATTTTTTGAGATTCAGTTGGAGCTGCGCATTCTTTAGGCCCGTGAGGACATGTTTCAAGCGTGCAATATGCGTTGCGAAATCGGGTGCAAAGACGACGATATCATCGAGGTAGCAGAGGCATATGTTCCAATTCGAACCCCGCAGAACAGAGTCCATCATGCGCTCGCATGTGGCCGGCGCATTGCAGAGGCCGAAGGGCATGTCATTGAACTCATATAGCCCATCCAGTGTCAAGAAGGCTGTTTTTGGACGATCGGCATCTGCTAAGGGCACCTGCCAATACCCCGAACGCAAATCTAACAACGAGAAAACTCCGACGCTTGTAAGCAATCAAGGGCGTCATCAATCCTGGGCAAAGGGTATACATCTTTACGAGTGATCTTATTTAAGCGCCTGTAATCAACGCAGAAGCAAATTGTACCATCCTTCTTCTTAAGAAGAATGACAGGCGATGCCCATGGACTTTGGGAAGGTCAGATAACGTCACACTTGAGCATATCGTCAACCTGTTCGGTGATAACCTGACGTTCCGTGGTGGAAACACGGTATGGCCGCTGTCGTACTGGCGCGTTAGAACCTGTGTCGATGCAGTGAAAAAAACTGGGAGTTTGGCCAAGGCTAGATTGAGCAACGTCAAAGTATTCATGAAACTG